ACCCCATTCCCCCCGGCTGATGACCAGCTTCCCTGTCCCCGGCACCGCCTGGGCCCAGGGCACTCGATGCGGGCGCCGCGCCTGCATCACCCTGCCTCAGCTCCCCACAGCCCTACCTCCCGTCACCTATCACCCGCTTGACCCTGCTGGGCCCCAACCCCAAACGACCCACCTGCCAAGCAGCTGCTGCTCGACTTCCTCCTCAACGCCTCCTGCTACTCCGCCGCCTCCGTCGTCGTCGCCGCCGCCGCCGCCGCGGGCCTGCCCTTCACCTGGAGCGGCGAGCCGCTAGCGGCGTCCGAGGCCGCCGCTGACAGCGCAGGCGCAGGCGCCGGCGCTGCGGCCCCAGGCGGGATGGCGGCCCTCATCGAAGCGGAGCTGGACAGGCAGGGGCAGGAGCAGCAGCGGGCTCAAGACCGGCGGCGCGCGACGCGGGCCTCTGATGTGGAGCGCGCCGTCCAGGCCGCGCGGGCCGCCGGCGGGCCCCACAGCGCGGGCGGCGGCGCGCTCGGCCTGCTCGAGGCCGCGCGGGCCAAAATCCAGGCGTCGCTCGGCTGCAGCGCCGACGGGTCGCCGGACTCGCTCTCCTCGGCCGACCTCACCTTGCCGGAGCACGCGCCGCCGCGCGGCCGCGCGCGGCGGCTGGGCATGCTTTGGGGGTTGGCCGGCGGACCCGGCCTGTCCGCGGTCAGCGAAGGCAGCAGCGGCCGGCCCGGCGCGGCCCCCGTGGAGCCCCTGCGCCGCCCCTCTGCCGCCGCCGCCGGCCCGCCAGCCGCGCCGCACCCCGCCGGCGGCGGTGACGCGCCCGCGGATAGCGCCGCCGCCGGCCCGAGCCTGGGGGCAGCGAGGGCGCTGTTAGGAGAGGCCGTGCTGCCGCGCAGCGCGGCGCCGCATGCCGAGCGCGACCGTCGGATCCTGCTAATGCAGGCGGCGCTCTTCCTGTTGGCCCTCGCAAACCGCGCGCCCGCGAGCGGCCCCGCCGGTGCGCCCTCCGCCGCCCCCGCGGGGCTGCGCCCTGCCCTGGCTTGCCTGGCGGCGGCGGCGCTGGCGCTGGCGCTGCTGCTGCTGCTGACGGCGGCGCGGCTCGCGCGCGGATGGGCCTCGCGGCGGCGACGTGGGGTCGCCGGCGGCGCCGCCGCTGCCGGCGCCGTCCCGGCCGCCCGCTCTCACAGCCTCTGCGCGTGCCAGGGCTCCTCACAGCAGCGCGCCACTCTGGCGCACCCTCCGAACTGACCGACAGTTTTGGAGGCCGCGAAGACGACAGGGGCCGCCCCGAAGGCGATGCCGGCCAGCATGGCAGCGGAGATGAGGCTGGCCACGGGCTGGACGGCCCCGGGGCGCCGCCCGCGCCGCAACCCTACCCCCCTCAAGCTGCGCACACGACGCCGCCCGCCCCGGACGAGCACCTTTGCAGCCGCGGCGGCGGCGGCGGCGATGCCGGCCGGGGCACAGGGGCCGCCTCGCCCAAGTCTGCAGGCCCCTCACCTCATGATCGTGCCGAGCGCGCCGATAGGCGCGAGGGCGGCGCCGCACCGAGCGCCATGCTCCTGTCCCGCTTGTTTGTACCCGCCGGCTTCGAGGAGCGCCCCCTCACTCTCCTCGTCAAGCGCGCCGCCGCCAGCCAAGCCGCGGGCTGCGGCGGGCCGCGCGCGGCCGCCTGCCTGCCCGGCTGCAGCCTGGTGCGGCTCGAGGCGCTGGGGCGCTGCGCGCGCCAGGAGGGCAGCAAAATCTGGTGCGGTGCGGGCGAGGAGGTCGCGGCGCGGGCGCTGCTGCGCGGCGCGGTCCCCCATGCGTCAGCCCCGCCGTTTGCTGGAGAGGCGCCGCCTGGCTACGTGGAGATGCAGTGCGTGCTGCTGGTCAGCGGCGACGGCTGCTGCGACAGGGTCAGCAGCGCCGCGCTTCGGCTGCCCCATCAGTGAGTTAAAAGGCACTGCTGGTGTGGTGTGTGAGTGTGTGTGTGTGTGTGTGTGTGTGTGTGTGTGTGTGTGTGTGTGTGTGTGTGCGCGCGCGCGTGCTTGCGTGCGTGCGCCTGCGCTTGCGCGTGTGCCCGTGCGTGCAGCCTCCACACACCCCCTGAGGGGGGGGGAGGGCGCAAGGCGCACAATCAGGACGTTTGGTACGCTCCCATTGCCCGGCTGCTGGCACAATCTGGCTCTTGCGTGACGCCCCTTGTATTGCCCCTCCCCCCGCCCCACGCCCTGCTCTCGCCAGGATTCCCCAAGGCGCGCACGGCGGCCACGGCCGCCTTGCGCCCCCGCCCTGCGCCGCCGCGTTGACCTCAGAGGGCAGCGCGGCAGTATTCACAGAGGTGCGCTGCACACTGCTCGTGAGAGAAGGCTCCCTCCACCTCATGGAGCCCGCCGCCGCCGCCGCCGCCATCGCCGCTGCATTCCACCGTACTACAGACCACCCGCAGCGCCCGTGCGGCGCGACCGGCGGCGCGGGCCGCGCGCCAAGGGGCGGCGGGCGCGATGACGCGCGCTGCCGCTCCTCTGCTTCGGCCGTCGAACGCGGCCGCGCGGGCGTCTCCGCCTCCTCTGCTCCCTTTGCCGCCGGCGATTTGGCCGCCGCTCCCTGCGCCGCCAGCGCCGCCCCCTCGACGATCCAGGGCCGCTGGCTGCCGTGCAGCGCCTGCGGGTGCGGCCGGGGCGCGCCGCCACCCCTGGCGTTGCTGGGGCTGCGAGAGCTCTGTGTGTCCCTTCTCGTTGCGGCACCTGCTGCCAGCCTCTGTGTCGACCCGGCGCTCGCCGCAGTGGTGCCGGGCTTTCAGGAGGTGCGGGTGACGCTGCTCGCGCGCACATGACCTCGTGGGGCCACAGGCTTGCGGCACCGTGGCACTGTGGCACTAGGTTGGAGCGGCCCTAGCGAGGGCCCGGCTGCTGCAGCTGGGCCAAGCGGGCCGGGCCTGGCCCGGCTGAAGCAGCAGCCGGGCTGCCGCAAAATGAGGGCGAATGCACCAGCCCCAGCATTTCAAGGCCACGCACGTGTGTGTGGCTGCAGGATGGCCCTGTCGGTCTTCTCCCCAGAGCGGCGCCGGCCTGCTGATGAGGCCCCTCCCTGGCCAAAACAAAATTGTCTGTTTTGAGCATTTCATCCCTTCGGCCACGGTCACCCTGATCTTGATTGTCTGCTGTTCCACATGAGAGAGTACCGTTGGTAGGGTTCCATGAATAGCATGGACGCGCGTGTGCATTGTAGCTCCGACAGACAAGCGCCGCCTGTTACGGTGGGACAATGATACGCAGGATGGGCCTCAAAATTTTCAATTTCTGGTGAGCACCAATGCAAAACCTCACGGTGGTTGCGCCAACCGCCTGTTCACAACAGATTCAAGATAGGCCGCACTTGAGTGGTATGGTTGTCAGGAAAGTTTGTCTGCGCTCGCAAGTTGGGTGGCTCTTCTGGGGTTTCGAGCGTGCGCTGCCCCTGAAACTTTTGAACAAATTTGATCTTTGTGCTCACGGGGCCAATGCCCTGTGCAGTGCCATCAGGGGCTTCATGCGCTTCTAGCAGGCTATATATACAGTAGGTCTGCCAGATACCAAGCAAAGCCCCTGTCGCGGCTGCTTGAACACCAGGCCCCCCTCTCCATCCTCCAAACAGGCTGACAGTGATTTTGGCCACAATTCCCGTTTGGTATGTTGTTGATGGATGCCCAGATGATGTCAATGTGCCTGAGTCCAAAATTTTGCACGTGTATCATTCGTGACATCCTGAAAGGTTCATGCCAATGCCGGCGGATGCCACCCAGCCACCCAGCAGGCACTTTGGATGTTTTGTCCACGGCCGCACGCATGAACGCCTGTGCTGCAAGCGTCCAAAAACACAACAGCCTGTGTTCTTACCCAGGCACAATTGGGCTTTTGCAGGCAAACCCGATGGTGGATAGTTGGCTGCTTGTTTGCAGACTTTTCCCGATGAAGGTGCGTTATTGTGAACACCGCAACTCCGTTTTGCTCCCCATCTCAACCACAGCTGCGGCCTTCACTGCCTGCTCTTGCCCTCCTGCACAACTGCTATGTGCACTTACAGGGTGCATGCTTTTCCAATTATAGCGGGCGTGGTCAAATTGTACAGGCACAAACGGAATGCAGACAACACAGTGCGGTGTTTGTTGACGGAATCCATGCGGACTCCCAAGAGGCGCCTGTGCATCTGCCTTTTGCCGGCGCTGGTGCAACGCCATGCATTGACAGGCGCATCCTTGCACCCTGGTGTGGCTCACAGCCATTCACAAATACATTGCCGCATCTTGCATATAGGGATCGGACCCTGCAAGTGTAAGTTGCCCAGTCTCGCACTATTTTTCTGCCCGTGGCAGGTGAGGGGCCGCAGCGATTTGTGATTAGGCGATCAGAGTTTTCCATCGGGGAGTGCGCCAACCAGTAGCAGCTCCGAGGCAGGACACAAGCAGGCGCTCGCCAGCAGGCGGCTGGGCCCGGCAGAGTACGCAACAGCAGCTCCTGCTGCGTCAACAGCTGCAGCGTGGGGATGGGCGGACATGCAGGTCAAGTGGCCATGATGCCACAACATCCAACCAGGGCACCAGATCTACCTAATTCTTACATGCACGATTTGCTTGCAGGCATGCGGCATGGCTGGCGGCCTGCCCGAACCTGCCCCACCACACAGGCGTGCACACTGAGACACTTGGAAGTCCTAGCAAATGCCCTGATCCCTACACAGCAGGCGCGCCAAGCCTTGATACTTCTGCTTAGGGTTCTAGCAATGCGGGCAGACAGCTCCTTGCAGCTTCACCTCAGTACAGCCTGCTCTTTAATCAAATGGCCGACACCACGAATGGGTTTGCCGCCACTGGTGCCGTTACATTACATTACGCTTTTCCAGCAGCGAGGGGAAAGCGGGAAACTCCCTGGCTCCCCAAAGGGGTAACGCCCCTAATCGTAAAGGCCACAGGAGAAAGCGGGTGCGGCCAAGTCGGGAATTAGTAAGAGGGCGCGCGCCTCCTTGGCGGGAGAGATAAGCAAGCCTTCTTCCAAGCGGGGCGGTTAGAGCAGCGGTCGTCTAGGTGAACGGGGACATCGATCCCCGACTGTGCTGCCATAGGGACATCGATCCCTATGGCAGCACAGTCTCGCCTCGCTATGTCAAACCGTGACATTCGCGGCCGCCCCACAGCGCGCGGCGCTCCAAAGCGCCAATTTGGGCAGACGAGTGTGGGTCATGCTCATCGTGTGACCCAGTTGGCGCAGCCACCGGTGCCGAGTGTGTGAATGGTGATGCTGCCAGCGTGCACTCCCAACTTCCCCCACATGCCATCTGCATTGCTCAACACTCAAAAATGGAAGGGTCACATACACCGCGCAGTCAGCCCAGCATGGACAGTTGCCGTTGGGGATCATGGTTTGGTGGTGGCGAGAGCCACCGTTTTGGGTGTTGGGTCGTGCCGAAGGGTGCAACACAGATGTGCTT